GGTTAAAATGATTATTTTTAAAAATTCAATTTTGATTTGTAAAGTTGTACGTTTAGAACAAAAGTGCAATTTTAATTAGAGTAATAAGGATATAGTTAAGCGATAAAAAAATAAGTGTATGATCAATCACATATGGTATACAAATGGATATTTATACAATTTTATAAAGTAATTGATATAGTTAAATGACTCATTATTAAAACATTATGTAAATATGTAGAGATTTCGTTATATTTTAGTTGAATTTAAATTTGTAATATATGTATTTGTGAATGTATGTTAAAAATTAATGTAAATATGTAGAGATTTCCAATATGGCATATAGATTTAATTAGAATGTTTTGATTGGTTGATTTAATTGATGTGTTCCTTAAATTCCTCTTTGCTTGACACCTAAGATTTTTTTGTGAGTGTCTCTTCAATTAATATATAGAAGATTTTACATAGTCAACGTGTGAGTTTTTATTTTTGTCTTCAATAATTTGACACTAATTGAAAAAGAACAAAATAAATTCCTCAACTTTTGTACTTTAGTAAAAATTCATCACATTCTTCAAAATTTTCAAGTTAATCAAATGGTAACATAAAATCTCTAATTCTTCAAAATTTTAAGTTACCATTTAGAGCCTGAATCATTTCTTATGTAGAAGCCTAGAAGATTTTAAACTCTAAAGTCCAAACTGATATACACGAAAGATCTTTGTGATTTCCAAAATAACATATCATTTATGTTGGAAAAAATACATTCACTAGCTAGTTAACTCTGGTTAACCTTGATCTAACATAGCTAAGCAGTAAGACTTGCTAGTACATCATATACGTCAGGTAAAGCGAGATCATAACTTGTTTTTACCTGACAATACATCGTCTATGTCAAGTAGAATGAAGTAAAAACTTACCAATACGTGACGAGGGATCGTCTATGCTAGGTGAAGTCAAGTACGAACCTGCCAATACCTGACTATACGTTGTCAGTAGGAAGTAGAACATCGTTACTACGTTGTTATCAAATCGCTAACGTCGTTACAAGGTTAGTTAACTTATTTGAAATAAGATAATACCTGGTTATCAAGATAACTTCCGTGGATTTCGTGATAAGAGATATAGCAAGGTCCATCATTATCTTGACTTGATAATATGAAGAGGTAAATGATTCAAGTATATCAAGAATCCCAATTATTAAGGAGAGATTCTTGACGCCAAGTCTGATCCTAATCCGAAAAGGGTTTGATCAAATCTTATAAATAGAGACGTCTCAGAGAGTAAGGGATCATCAGAAAAACGCAGAGAAAACTAAGAGCTACATCTTCATAGCGGCATCCCTGAGATAGCAACCAGAGATCTAGCCTTGTTTTTTGCGTCCGACGAAGTTTCTTATAACGGTTTAGACATCTAGACGTTGTATTACTATTCGGCTACGAGCCTTCTTCGTTGATTAATAAAGGTATACTTCTCTTTATCATTATGTAGATCTGTGTACTTGCGAACCTGGTTAAATTTTGCCGAAACAATTTATAAGTTTAAGTAGATTTTTGTTTCAAAAAAAAGGTCATCTTTATGTTTAGTAAAGGCCAGATGAATTGGAATCTGATGACGACAAAAAATATATTGAGAATTCTTGAAAAATGTCATTTAAAAAAACTCACTCTTCTAAAATATTTTTAAAATGTTACCAAAATTATATCATTTATTCAAAGTATAATATAGTTTTGGATTAACTATTTTGTTTTAAGGTTTTAAGGGTTGTCAGAGGTCAAAACATTTTTAAGGTTTATAATTTTAGGGTTTAAAGTTAAAAAAACCTTTAATTAGTGGTATTTTTGAAAATGGATAATCCGTGGTGGCATTTTTAGAAATGGACAAACCAAAAATAGTAGTTTTGAAATTGACCCAAAAAATTAGGCTTCTTTAAAAAAACATATAATTCTAGTTTTTTTTTAGATTTTTTTTCTTAAACATAATAAACAAATTATATGATATTTAAAAGAAAACAAATTCTTATGGAAATAAACATTATATGTATAAAGTTTTTTTGCTGATTAATTTTCTAATTTTGAAAAAAACATTTAAATTATCTAAAAAAAAATTCAATTTTTTTAAAAAAATGCCACTATCACATTTTTTAAATATTTTCAAAAATACCACTAAAATTATATCAAATACTCAAAATATCATTTAGGCTTGAGTTAACTATTGTTTATTACAGTTTACTTTTTAGGTTTGAAGGTTTCTTAGGGGTCAAAAACTTTTTTTAGAGTTTAGAATTTTAGTATTAGTTAAGGTTTAAAAATTCTGAACTAGTGACATTTTTGAAAATGGACAACTCATAAATGCATTTGAAAATAAACACATAAAATAGCATTTTTGCAATTATCCCTACAAAATTTCATTTGTCCTCCTAATTAAGCCTACCCTGTGTTTAATTATTTGGCGATTTTGTAAATTCAAATATTAGGTGAGGAGAAACGACCATTTTAGACGCGATTAAATATCTTTCTTACCTTGCCTGAGCCTTTGATAAGAAAACTCGAGCTACATATTCCATTTCTGAGTAGAAATACCGCGTTATGGGTCTTTTTCTTATATGCCCAGTGTTCCTTCCGAATATCTTGATTTGCTACCGAAGTTATTAGATCCAAGTTTTTTCTCGTGTGGACTCGGACCATTATTAGTTTAGGCTCAAAACCGGTTTTTTGAACTATCATTGAGTGATAAGTTCCATCCAATATGCCAATAGACTTCACCACACCACGTGGGGACGAGTGTTTCAACTATTTTATCCTAAACAA